AATATATATTAAATTATTTCTAAAAGCATATAAAGAAGATTCCATGAATGTTTGAATCCTCACAGGCCTTCCCTTATGAAAAAATTTTAATTAATTTTATTTCTGAAATGCAGAAAATTATAATAAATGGTAAATAAAACTGACATCCATTACATAAATATTAAAGCAAATTTCTGAAAGCGACATATTAAATTTAAGATTTAAGATGGCACCAGTTTCAGTTCAACAGGTATACTCATTTAATCCAATAATTACAGGCGTGCCAGGCACTATTGTAGGCCTTGGAGATACAAAAAGAATCAGAAACAAGGCTCTTGCCATCATAAAGCTTTTATTACAGTTCCAGAAACAGGTAGTAGTAAACAAATAATTAACAAGATAATTACAGATTATGAGTATGATAAATGAAGTAAGAGTGATGGGGTGGGTGGCTGGGGGAAATATCAGGAAAGACATCTCTCTAGTGATGAGACTTCGACTGAGACCTGAATGATAAGGAAAAGGTAGACAAGCAAATGTTAAAAGCAGGCCACTCTGCCAGAAGGACTAGCAAGAACAAATGTCCCAACACAAAAATAAGCCCAGCGTATTACAGGAACCAAGGCCAGTGTGACTAGAGAGCAGTAAGCTGGTAAGAGCGAAATGAGATGTAGTTCAGTAGTCTACAGTAAGGGTAGGAATTTTATCCTAAGACTAACTTACAGGAAGCAACTCAAGAGTCTGATTCAATCAGGAGAAGGACAAGATCTAATTTGCATTTTTAAACTACTGCCCAAGTTGCTCTGGGAAGGATAATAGAGGGAGAAGGGCAGGATTGGAAACAGAAAGTCTAGTTAAAAGACTCTGGTCTGAGATTTCAATAAGATAACTGTTACAGAGACAGCAGAAGTAGACAAATATGACATGTATTTTGGAATTAGAGCCCCAAAACTTGCAGATACATTAGACAGAGTGTAAGAGGACACTGACAGAAACAGAAAAGTCAAGAATGCCTCAACTAGCATAAATGCACCGAAATTAAGTAAGCTCAAAGAACAACCATGGCATTTGTCAATTTAAAATCTTAGGTGTCACTGAGAAAGCAAAAGGGTTCCTCTTGCTCCATTAGGCAAAGAAATCTTAGTGGCAAACAAATAGTATACACAGAGAATTTGACTGGAAATCAGCAGGACAGGGCTCAGGTGTGACTCCTTCCTACTTTCTAATCCTCAGCAAGTCTCCTCCTGCCATTTTAACACTACCCATGCCACCTCACTGGATTACTGAGAGGAATAAATAAAATGCCTGCCAAAGTACCTGGCAAGCAAGAGTATTACTAAAATCAATCTTAATACATTAATCCCTTCTCTTCCTTGTCAAACAACCTAGAGAGGTGGAAGTCTGTTACTGTCAATAAACAACTCCCTCTTACCTGATATACAACAGCACTCATCAAATACAATTTCCATTATATAATTATGACTTACTTCTAAATCTGAACTTATGCTAAGAATCCTAGGCACTGTTTCTTTTCTGGATAAGGAGTCTTAATTAATATTTATGATAAAATTAACTTGTGATCTCAAATTACCCTGTAGCAACTAGTAAATCTGCTTGTGTCACACTCTCAGAGTCCAAAAGTGTGTTATTACAAAATGTTTCCATCCTTTTAGGAATAAATTTAAAGTTTCGTAGTCATTGTAATGTTTTCTTTCAAAGTGCTGGGTGGAGTAAAATAAACTACATTACACGCTTGGCTATGGTTTTAATTTCTTCAGCACAGTACAAGCTCAAATTGGGCAGAATGTTAAGAGCAGCCATCTGTGACAAGGCAATGGGGATGGCCAATGGATGCCAGGATGGAAACATATGGAAAGTCACAGACATCTTCCCCCTACGTAAATCTAGTTCTCATGGGAATGAGCACTGCTTAGTGGAAGATCTCAGCAGTCTGCAGAGCTAGAGTGCAGCTTTTTAAATCTAGCTCTGCTTGAAGTACCATAACAAATGGTACATCATTGTTAATTAAAATGACATCATTGTTAATTAAAATCCTAGATTCTAGGATCAGACAGATTTGAGTTCTCATCAGAGTTTATTGTCCTGTACCAGCTTTGCCTTAGGAAATTTTCTCAGCCCCTAAGCCTCATGCTTCTCAGTGTTAAAGATGAGGGTAATGATAACTTATACCTCACTGAGTTGTTTTAATGACATAATAATGCACATAAGAATTTAGTCATATTGTGTGACCAACATAGTGTCAACTATTATTAATAAGTAGCTCATTAGTTTTTTTTTCCATTTTAGGTAACATGTATTCAAAGGAAAGTTGGAATATTACAAATAAAAACTACACAACAACTCCTATAACTTTTAGGACTAGTAACTTCAGATCTTAAAATTCCTCAGCAAATTCTTTCTGATAGATGTGAATTGCTTTCTAAAAGATCTACCAATTTATACTTCCCTTGAGGCAAATATGACTACACCCATTTCTCTACATTAAAAAAATGGCTCATATTTAATTTTCAAGTACTTACACTCAGAAGTACTGAAGAAGTAAAGATGGCTCTCAAACTCAAAATGATCATCAGGACTACGGCATAGACATGGAGAATCTCCTTTTTCTTCCTGTCTCCAAGAGGCTGTGTGGGAAGTATTTGTGTCAACAGTTACACAGAGGGCAGCTATCGAGCTAAGTGGGCTTTGCTGGGATTTCTCCCTTGCCCAGATAGACCAGAATAATCACAGATAATCCTTGACAAGTTTAGCAAATGTTTCCTAGCTGCTAGGTAAATCTATAGTTATACAAAATTAAGGCTTGTGAGGCGTTCGAAATAATCCTCCATAAAGTCCTGTAATGTAACTTCTGGATTTTTCTCCCCAAAATTCCTGTCTTTAAGTTTTCAAGCTTTAAAAGGGCCACACTCAGTGGAGGTTCATCTAAGTATGCACAAAATTGGTAACTTCATGCCAACATATGAGTGTGTAAATATAAGCACAAGGATATACTACGTACATGTGTTATGCACATGTAAACTAAATGTGTCATTGCTGAACCAAGTAAAACTCATTATTTCCATGCGAAAGTGCAACATTACATCTAAAAAGGATCTAACCATCTCTACTTCAACCTTTTCTTAGAAGAGAACATAAGGCCCAAAGAATGTAAATATCCATTTGCCAGAGCTAATCAGCCACTCAAGACTCCTATCTCAGATCTTTTTTTCCTACCACTGTGTCTGAAATTGGTTCTTGACTCACGGACTTCAAAAATGAAGCTGTGGACCCGCCGAGTGAGTTACACTTCTTAAAGATGGTATTTCTGGAGTTTGTTCCTTCAGATGTTCAGATGTGTCTGGAGGTTTTTCCTTCTGGTGGGTTCCTATTCTTGCTGACTTTAGAAGTGAAGCTTCAGACTTTCTCAGTAAGTGTTACAGCTCTTAAAGGTGGTGCGTCCAGAGTTGTTCCTTCCTCCTGGTGGGTTTGTGGTCTCGCTGACTTCAGGAGTGAAGCATCAGAACTTCGAGGTGTTACAGCCCTTAAAAGTGGCATGTCCTTCCTCCCTTTGTGGCATGACCACAAAGCCAGTTTGTGGTCTGGCTGACTTCAGGTGTGAAGCTTCAGACGTTCATGGTGAGTGTTATAGCTCATAAAGGTTGTGCAGACCCAACGAGTGAGCAGTAATAAGATTTACTGCTAACAGCGAAGAACTAACCTTCCACAACGGTGAAGGGGACCCCAGCAGGGCTGCTCTCCCTACTCATGTGGCCCGCTTTAATTCCCTTATTTGTCCCTGCCCACATCCTGCTGATTGGCCCATTTTATGGAGCGCAGGTCCATTTTACAGAGCACTGATTGGTCCATTTTTACAGAGTGCTGATTGGTGCATTTACAAACTTTTAGCTGGACACAGAGCACTGATTGGTGCGTTTACAATCCTTTAGCTAGACAGAAAAGTTCTCAAGTCCCCACCTGACCCAGAAGCCCAGTCGGCTTCACCTCTCACTATGAGGCATTTCTTTTCTCCCTGATAAACCTGCCCACTGACACCCTTTCTTTCACACACACACACAAACTGGTACTCACAGAAGTTATTTGTTCCTGGGCTTTGGAGACAGACAAGCTCTCCATTATTTCCTAGGTGTATGATTTTGGTAAGATGTCCAACTCTGAACCTCAGCTTAAAGACTAATAAAACGGAATAACATGTAAACTCCTAAAGTTGACAATTCCACTTAGTGCAACAACTAGCACATAACTTCCCAACAATAAAAGGTAATGTTATTACTATTACTACAAATCATCATAGTCAATAATGTTATACGCCTGGCAAACACTTGAACTCAGTCCCTACCTTCCAGGGTTTGGTCCTTTCAGCAACACAATTTATTTTAAGATGTCTGGGGTGAGAAAGAAGTGGGATGTACCTGCAGCCAGGAACTAAAAAGCCGACTGTCGCCGTGGGCTCAAGGTCACTCGGGGAACAGAAATACTACGGGAACTTTCAGTCCTTCACCAGTGAGCTCGACAAGGCTAAGCTCCTCTCGCCTCCCCACTCTGTGTTTCCCGAGGGCCGGGGGGGATACCACCTAGCACCTGCTGCAGCCTTCAGCGGGCTGTTTAAGGCCTAAGGTAGGCGATAAGCAGAGAAACTCCCCGCTAGCACGTAGCGTGCAGACCCGGCCAAGTTCAGCTACCAGTGCCTGGAATACTCCGCTGTCCCAGACAAAACACAGCCGCGCGAGCAAGTCCCACGTTCTATTGGTCGCAGCCCTCCAATAGGAGGAGCGGTGCCCTACCCCGCTGAGCAAGACTTTCCAGTGTCTCTGACCCTAGCTCTGCCATTTCCATGGTGACCGCTACGGGTTACCCTTTTGGCCGCCCAGGCCGGAGTTGCGTCATTGCCTGTGTGCCTGAAGCACTAGTTCTTGCCAGGCGTGGGGTGATGCCCTGGTTTGGCTCCTGCGAAATTAGACCTTCCAAGCTGGGCGTTATCCCTTCCACGAACCCCCCTGACTATGGCAGTGTTTCACAACGAGGTGGAAATCGAGGACTTCCAATATAAAGACGACTCGGATACGTATTTCTATTACTGCCTATGTGGAGATAACCTCTCCATCACCACGGTAACTCCAGGGCCCTGTATGCCACTTCACCCAAGTAAACGCAGTTTCACTCCCCCGTGTTCCTTCTGTCATTGGGTAGTTTTTGCTGCACTGGGTTACCCAAGCCTTCTTTCGCAATTGCTGAATCTTCTTCCCGCATCCCTCGACCCCAACTAATAACCTGAGGTCTCTCAGTAGGCACGTAGTTATGGCCTTAGATTATACCCGAGAGGGGGCGCGGGGAGCCTCTGTCTCCTTAGAGTTCTGGTCCCGTATATTTGTGTACGGGAGGGGACTCAATTTTTGTTTTCCAGGGCTTTTGGGGGCGACGGAAGCTCAATTAACCTTCTTAGGTGTTTCCCCTAAGTGATGCTTCTAAGGCAAAATTATTTTGGCTTTTCTTGCTAAAGGCTCTGGGGTTCTCACTCACCTTCAGGGGAAGGCAAGCCACCAATACACTTGCATCTAGGGGTAGGATAGGTTTGGGGGAGGAGATGGCGAAGAGGAGACTATGCTGACCATATGGTATTTGATCGTTGTACGAAGATTTGGAGAATATGGAAAATGTGGCAACGTGTCCTAGCTGCCCTCTCATTATAAAAGTGACATATGACAAAGGGATATAATTTTTAAACGGGGGAAAGGGGTTGTAAGGCAGTGGCAAGGACTTAAATCAGCCAGTCAGTGATGATTGCTTCAGTGTGCTAGGCGAAGTGTGGTATTTTTTTTAAGGCAGGTTTTAAACACCATTGATAAACAGCCAAATAGTAAATTAAAATGTTTAAAGTTCAGATTACACAATTTATTTTAGCTTTGGAGCTAAATCTAGCTTTAGTGAAAATTATTACTTATTAAATAGAAAAATTATATAGATTATTTTAATGGACAATCTTTATATTTCTCTTCTATTTAATATGTAATTAAAGAGCTTCTAGACTTACTTTGAGAACAATTGTATGGTATTCCATGCCTGGATTATAAATTGAATTCTGCATTATCTTGTTTGAGGTATAATTCCAAGGTGCAGCATTACAATTTCATTTTAGCCTTAATTGCCCTATTGTCTTTCTCCCAAAGATGTTGACAATAAGAAAAACAAAAAATATTATTGCTGCCCACTCCTGCCCAAAGTTTTGTTCGGCACTTTGAATGGAATATTAGGTAAGGAGCTTAACACTCTCAAGGATGAACTCAAAATGAATATGGAGAAAGTTGGAATGAGGCACAAAGCCTCACAGAGAAGCAGGCTATAATTTAGACTATAATTTATAGATGTAATGATTCATTCTTGTACTAAAATGTACTCTGCAACAGAAGGCAAACAAGATAAGGCCAATCAGGAGTGCTGGTCTGGGAGGAGGTTGCAGTTTTCCATAGAGTGATCATGGCAGACCTTACTGAGAAAGACTTACTAAGTAAAGATTTGAAAGAGGTGAGTCAGTGAACTTGGTACATAAGAGGGTATAGGGGCTAAGAGAGTCTAGTAAAGTATTGTTCAGTGAAGGGGACCTAAAACGGAACATAGCTGATTTTCTCAAATAACAAAAAGGAAGCCAGTGTGACCAGACCAGAGCAGGATGAGAGTAGTTCAAGATAAAGTCATGGATCATTCTAAGGACTTTGTCTCTTCTTGTGAGTGATATAGTGAACCATTGGAAGATTTTCAAACATAGGAGTGCTATGATCCAACTTAAGTTTTTTAAAAAGTGATGTTGGCTGCTGTGTTCAGAGTAGACTATAGAAAAGAAGGATAGAAACAGGAAAACCAGTTAGGGGGCTATGACACTAATTAAAGGAGATGGGTAGGTTATACCTGGTTTCAGCAATGGAAGTGATGAGAAGTACTTAGATTCCGGATACACTTCGAATGACTGATGGGATATAGGATGTGAAGGAGTGAGTCAAGGATGATTTCAGTATCTGTGACCTTAATAACTGGGAGGATAGAGTTACTGTCAGTTGAGGGAATGTAACTATTGTTATGGGGGGTTGGTATAGGGGTTGGAATTATACGTACAAAGTTTGAGAGGTCCGTCATCCAAGTGGAGCTGTTGAGAGGGCAACTGGATATGTATATCTGGAGTTCATGAGAGAGGTTGGCTAGCAATGTCAGTTTGGGAGTTATCAGTAATAGATAACATTTAGAGTCATGAGACTGGATGAGATCAACAGGTCTGCAAATATAGAGATAAATAAAACATAGGATTGCACCTTAAGGCACTCCAGTTTTAAAATTTCAGGGAGGGAAGTGAGGAATCACCAAAGCTGATGGTAAAGGAGCAGCCACTGAGAAAGGAGGAAAATAAGCAGTGTCAAATCCTGGAAACCAGATGAGAAAAGGTCAAGGAAGTGGTGATCCTTGTCACATGACACTGATAGAAAGAAATCGAGAATTTACCATTAGCTTTGGCTGGTTGTGGTGGTTCATGCCTGTAATCCCAGGACTTTGGGAGCCTGAGGCAGGAGGATTGCTTGATCCCAGGAGCTTGGGCAACATAGTGACACCCCACCTCAAAATAAATAAATAAATAAATAAATAAATAAATAAATAAATAAATAAATAAATAAAATAAAGGAATTAACCAGTTAGCAACACTGAGTTCATTTGTGAAGGTGATGTGAGCAGTTTCTGTGGAGTAACAGGAACAATGTATGATTGAAGAAACCAATGGGCAGAAAACTGGTTGGAGAGAATGAGAGAACAGAAGGCAGTGAGTATGGGCATTTCTTTTAAGGAGTTTGCTGCAAACGAGAGAGAGACATGGGATGGTAAGCAGTTGTGATGGAGGATCAAGAGAAGATTTATGGCGGTAGCAAGTCAGTCTTCATAAGTGAATATAGACACAGAAACTTAGATTTAACCAAGTTTATGGTTTTCCCAAGTGAACAGGAAGGAGTGAGAGAAGAAGAGAAGAGTGGTTATAATCGACCATAGAGTTTCAGCTAGGTAAAGAGAACATGAAGAGAGTGAGGGGCAGTGAAAGGGCGGTAGGATGAATATGACAGCAGTCTAGTGGGGTTGGAATATGGCATTTAGGGTGGATAAATGGCAGCAACAAAGAAGAATAGCAATGTGGCGTCTCAAGAGATGTAAGATTCTAAACTGATGGGTTTTAGATAGGAAAGGAGTACAGTGGTAAACAGAAGGAACTAGCCCCACTTCCAATCCTTCTGGCACTAGGACTCTTGAGAACACAGAGCCTCCACTAGAAGGGCATGTAGAGGAGACTCTTCTTAAGAATATGACTTCATCAGGCCAGGTGCGGTGGCTGATGCCTGTAATCCCAGCACTTTGGGAGGCCAAGGCAGGCGGATCATGAGGTCAGGAGTTTCAGACCAGCCTGGCCAACATAGTGAAACCCCGTCTCTATTAGAAATACAAAAATTAGCCGGGCATGGTGGTGCACGCCTGTAGTCCCAGCTACTCAGAAGGCTGGGGCAGGAGAATTGCTTGAACCCAGGAGGCGGAAGTTGTGGTAAGCCAAGATCATGCCACTGCACTCCAGCCTGGGCAACAGAGTGAGACTCTGTCTCAAAAACAAAACAAAACAAAAAATAGAATATGGCTTCATCTCAACCTCAGCACTACTGACATTTTAGGCCTGATAATTCTTTGTTGTGCAGTGTTATCCCGTGCATTGTGGGATGTCTAGCAGGATCCCTGGCCTCTACCTATTAGATGTCAATAGCAGTCCTCAGTTCTTTCGATTCAAAATATTTACAGATATTACCAATGCCCTTGAGGCTAAAAGGATATTTTGAGGAAGAGGTTGAGAATACGGAGCATTGTGCTGACAATGGACCATGAATTCCAAAGGGCACAGTGAAAGAGTTTCAGATATTGGACCACAGAGCAGTAGGGACAGAGTAGGACCGATCCTTTGGGAATCAGATTGCTGGAGATGAGGGGTAACCTTGGAGGCAGAGATTTCTTGTGGTTGCTGACATAAGCCTGGATAAGTGATCAGAGATGGAGCTTCATTTACAAAGTAGCTAACATTGCAAATTATCTGTATTGGGAAACACGTAAAGACCTATCCCTTTTAGTTGGAAGAAGTAATTACTTTGAAGAGGAGTGGCATTTGAATGACCAAATATTGAAGTGGAGAAGTTTTAGTGTAAGTAGTAATACAGAAATTTAAAAGATGTGACATGTCTTTATGTGATTTCTGAGAAGGGATTACTTTGTACTGAAGATGGACATGTTTGTTTATAAGCTGCATTATATTAAATAATGAATTCAGAACCAAAAACTATTACAAGTTTAAGATTCTAATTTTGTGCTATTGTTGGCTCTTTGAACAAGGATGAAGTGATAATAGCAATGGAAAAACAAAATTAACAGAGCTGGATTGATTCAGTAAAAAAATTAAGGTTTAATATTAATGCATTTGTGACACAGGGATCAGTTTCTGTATGAAGAAACAGTCCCAGCCCCTTCAGCCAACCAAGAATTAGTTAAATTTGTTAAATGCTGAAGAAGCCTTCAGGAATTCAAATCCTTAACAGTTGGAAATGATCACAGATAGAAATATCCAATGCAAAACTACTGGTTTCACATAGACAACCATTTGTGATTTGCTGTTCTGTAAGGGTGTGAATTCTTTCCATCAACTGCTGATTTCATCTTCAGGAAGCAAGTTCATAACATGACATATCCAGATTTTTGCTTAGAATCTGGCATTAGAAGCATTCTTAGTTATCCATCTAAATTTAAAGGAAGATAATTTCTAAATAGCGCTTTCTTCCCCTCAATTCATCTTTTTCATGTCTTAAACCAAATTACTTCAGTATCTGATAACAGTGTCATCTACCTCAGTCATTAGGATTTCTTAATAAAAAAGAGATTGTATTTTTGAGTTGATTATTAAGATGGTTAAAATTAGGACCTCCTTTGAAATTTGACATCAGCTTTGCTGTTCTAACTTTAGAATTAGTTGCTTCATCAGTCCCACACGTCCAGTTTCTGTACCAAGCCAGTCTCCTCAGTTTTCCCATTGGAAAGGACATGTTCTGTTCAGCCTGTCATTTTTGTAATGCTTCATGCATAGAGTTCAGTCATAGTATTAAGATAGAGTGAGGTCACAATTTCCCTAGAGCTAAAAGTTTATGAACAAGAAAGAAAGTCCAAAGTGAAGTAATGAAAGAATAGGGAGTTTTCTTATATTCTGTATATTCCTTGGAAGTCAGGACATGATGAAAAGAAAAAAAAAGAAAAAGATGAAAACAAAAAAGAAGTCAGGACAAGATGAAATTTCACTTCCAAAAAAGGTCAAATTGTTAACAGAATGAGCATACCAGTGTAGTAAATGAAATGTTTGAGTTACTGCCAGATCAGAGCAAGTAATATTTCTGTATCAGGGTTTTTGTTTGTTTCTTGATAAGACTAATGAAATTGCATTCCAGATAGAGGGTCATGTCAAGTCTTCATGGCCAGTAACTGTGCTTTTGGCATATCACAGTGTTGTGTCACTACTACAAGATAAAGCACCAGCAGCAGAGAATGAGTTTGAAAGTGAGGGGCCTATTGTGAATAAATATGCCCATAAGAGCACATTTAATAAGCCTCTATAACCTGCAGCCAAACCAGACATTCATTCCTGCATGGAAATGTTGCCCTGGAGAAAAAGAAACATAAAGATAGTCTGTCGGTCTTCCTTTGCTGCAGTACTAAGAATAGCAAGAAATAATCATTTATATTGGAAATTTGAAAATTATCTTTATATACACAACTTTACCTGGGTATAAATAAACAAATGATAATACACTGATGTCTGTCAGTTTGTTTTAGGAATGGCTCCTGCAATTAGAAAAATAAATTTCTAGAATGTGAATTTTCTGTTTCTAATTGGTAAATGTACTGCACATGTTTATTGGAGGTTAAAAAACAAGTGAATCACCTTTTTTACCTGCCAGCAGTGTGGCTATGTGCAGCTGCTAGACTGAGACAATAAATTCCCACAAATTGTGTGCAGAAAGTACTTGGTACATTATTGGCATATTCTGGATGTGATGAGAAATCTCATTGCTGTTTGGGACACTGACATTCCAGAAGTAATCGATAATTGCCTTGCAAAAGCAAAGTGACTGCTCAGATGAACAGATCAGAGTGCTCTCCTACTATGGTGGGATCACCTGCAACGAGAAAATGAACTGTCATGCTCATATTGATGGTTTTCTAGATATTGCCAACATGTCAGCTCTTTCTGATGCTGATGAATTTCAAACACGAACAGATACCCTTGGTATGGGTTTTCTAAGAACATAGAAGAACAGGAAGAAAATTTGCTGGGTTCAGACATCCCAGGAAAAAAGAAGCATCAACAGCATTAGCAATCAGTGACTGATGATAATGCTTCAGTAATGGTAATGATTTTATTTCTAAATAAAATCATTTCTAAATCATATAATGCTTTATTTCTAAAGCAGTTGAGTCACTAAGTTTGTGAACTATAAAATAACTCTTCAAGGAGAACTACAAACCACTTATCAATGAAATGAAAGAGGACTCACACAAATGGAAGGACATGCCATGCTCATGGATAGGAAGAATCAATATCGTGAAAATGGCCATACTCTCCAAGGTAATTTACAGATTCAATGCCATCCCCATCAAGCTACCAATGACTTTCTTCACAGAATTGGAAAAAAACTAAAGTTCATATGGAACCAAAACAGAGCCTGCATTGCCCAGACAATCCTAAGCCAAAAGAACAAAGCTGGAGGCATCATGCTACCTGGCTTCAAACTATACTACAAGGCTACAGTAACCAAAACAGCATGGTACTGGTACCAAAACAGAGATATGGACCAGTGGAAAAGAACAGAGCCCTCAGAAATAATACCACACATCTACAACCATCTGATCTTTGACAAACCTGACAAAAACAAGAAATGGGGAAAGGATTTGCTATTTAATAAATGATGCTGGGAAAACTGGCTAGCCATATGTAGAAAGCTGAAACTGGATCCCTTCCTTACACCTTATACAAAAATTAATTCAAGATGGATTAGAGACTTAAATATTAGACCTAAAACCATAAAAATGCTATCAGAAACCTAGGCAATACCATTCAGGACATAGGCATGGGCAAGGACTTCATGTCTAAAACACCAAAAGCAATGGCCACAAAAGCCAAATTGACAAATGGGATCTAATTATACTAAATTAAACTAAAGAGCTTCTGCAAAGCAAAAGAAACTACCATCAAAGTGAACAGGCAACCTACAGAACGGGAGAACATTTTTGCAATCTACTCATCTGACAAAGAGCTAATATCCAGATCCTACGAAGAACTCAAACAAATTTACAAGAAAAAAACCTATCAAAAAGTGGCTGACGGATATGAACAGACACTTCTCAAAAGACATTTTTGCAGCAAACAGACACATGAAAAAATCCTCATCATCACTCGCCATCAGAGAAATGCAAATCAAAACCACAATAAGATACAATCTCCCACCAGTTAGAATGGTGATCATTGAAAAGTCAGGAAACAGCAGGTGCTGGAGAGGATGTGCAGAAATATGAATACTTTTACACTGTTGGTGGGAGACTGTGAACTAGTTCAACCATTGTGGAAAACAGTGTGGTGATTCCTCAAGGATCTAGAACTAGGAATACCATTTGACCCAGCCATCCCTTTACTGGGTATATACCCAAAGGATTATAAATCATTTCTGCTATAAAGACACATGCACATGTATGTTTATTGTGACACTATTCACAATAGCAAAGACTTGGAACCAACCCATATGTCCATCAATGACAAACTGGATTAAGAAAATGTGGCACATATACACCACGGAATACCATGCAGCCATAAAAAAGGATGAGTTCATGTCCTTTGTGGGGACATGGATGCAGCTGGAAACCATCATTCTCAGCAAACTATCCAAGAACAGAAAACCAAACACCGCATGTTCTCACTCATGGGTGGGAACTGAACAGTGATAACACTTGGACACAGGAAGGGGAACATCCCACACCAGGGCCTGTCGTGGGGTGGGGGGAGAGGGGAGAGGGGAGGGATAGCAATGGGAGATATACCTAATGTAAATGAGGAGTTAATGGGTGCAGCACACCCCAGCACATGTATACGTATGTAAGAAACTTGCATGTTGTGCACATGTACCCTCAAACTTAAAGTGTAATAAGTAAATAAATAAATAAATAATACATCAATATTGAATCCTGTGTTAAGCATAAAGTAATATCAGAGCCAGGCACAATGGCTCATGCTTGTAATCACAGCTACTTGGGAAGCTGAGACAGGAGGATCATGTGAGGACAAGAGTTCAAGACTAGTCTGGGCAACATAGAGAGACCCTGTCTCTAAAATAATTTTCTTTTAATTAGCAAGATGTGGGGCCATGAGCAAAGTGCTTGAGCCTAGGAGTTTGAGGTTGTGGTGAGCTGTGATCACACCACTGCATTCCAGCCTGTGTGACAGGATAAGACCTCATCTCTAAAATATAATGAGACAGGAAAGTAAAACTGGACGCTGAGAGGTGACATAAGTTATGTGTGATATATGTGCCTTATTTAGCCCAAGACATTTCTGGAGCACCTGTAAAAACTGATTTGTAATCCAGGCTATGTCTCTTTTTAACTTGGTAATCTTGGCAAGTCCATTGAATTCTTCAGCTGTACAATTAGGAGACTTGATCAGGTGATTTCATTTCTCAGCTGTCAGTTCTCTAATTTCAGGCATGGTAGCTTGTAGGAACTGAAATGGCAATTAAAACCTTTATAAACTCAAACTAAATCATGAGTTACAGAGAAAGTCCATTCTTCCATAACTTGATGTCACTACGCTTCTGGGTTTAAAAATTATGAATTTTACTGTTTAAAGGATTCTGTATATATTCTAGTGTGCATATTCAGAAACATATTTCTTGGAAAAAGCACCCAACATTTTTTATAACTGTACATGTTAATTTATTACTAGAATAAATGGCATTTCATGCTAAATAAAGTCAGATAATTTAAATCCATTTACTTTCATGTATTTTTTTGTTCTCCTAACTATCAACATTTTAAAATAAAATGTTTTTGATTTTATATGAGGTAGAAGTCTTACTTAACTCTTTGGGGCATTGTTAATAGGCTTTTTGGTATGCACAGTAGATTTTAAATCAGAGGAAAATTGCCACTTTCTACAGTTTGGGTTCTGAATTTTTATTGTTTTCTGGAAAATAAAATCGTTGAGTCAAGTGGTAGTAAGGCAAAGAAAGCTGACATTCGTAAATGAGTAACTCCGTTTATTGCCAGGAAAGAAGACTGATATTTAAAGTTGATGATCAATTATTAGAGTGGTTTGAGTGCCCAGCTCTGCTCAGAAGACAATTCAAATCTTAGTTTCTCCACTGTGATCTCAGAAAATTTACTTAATAATTATGTTCTGGTTTCTGAAAGGTAGACCATGGTACGTCTTTCCCAGGGTTGCTGTGTGAACCCATTCATTCTGCAGTTAGA